GTGGAAACTTTCCCCTTTAAAAAAAACTACAAAATAAACTAAAAGTGCAGAATGTGTTATTAATGTTGGTTTTTATCCGCCGCAGATCAGGGAGCATTCAGACAATAAGCAGAATGTTAGTGCCTTTAAAAAATTCAAATCTTTCTTTTTATCATTTAGATAAAAAATAAAAAGATGCATCCTTTAAGAATCATTTCTGCTGCAACGGTTTTAAAACAAAATGTAAAATAACAAAAATCGTCTTTGTTATTGAATTTTCTGTCAATGTTGAAAAAATTTTAATTTATTGGTCAAAGACGATTAATTATCAGATTAAAATCATCTTAATAAATAAACTAAAACCACATTTCTCTATTTCCTGTTATTTTCCATTTTATTCGTCTGATTTGTTTTATATATTTATATAAATGAACTTTTTGTTTTTCTTAAAGTTTTAAAATGAATTTCAGTAAATTAAATTAAAACTGGATATGATTCTGTGAAACTAGAAACTTTTGCTTAGAAAATGTTATTTGTTGCATTAAAAATAAAATTTGTCTTTTTTTTCTTTCAGTTCTGTGATTGAGTTTTATTTTGAAAATCCCGTTTCTTTGTCAGTGAGCCTTGCAGAGAGACGCCTGCGATGCTGATTGGTTGACACGCCTGGATCTAACGGCTTCCTATTGGTCGCATTGTTTTCTGTCTTTTTTATCGTTTTAGTTCACGTCTGTTTTTTTATTTAACATTCTGTTGAACGCTGGTTTAAAAAATGAATGTTGGACTTTAACTTTAGATCAAAGTTATCTTTGTGAACATTGTGTTTTTTTTTCTTGCATTAAACACAGGTTATCATGCATTTATATCTACATATGGGACCTCATTTAGCCTGCAGTTTTTGCCATCTTTGTGAGGACCCACACTCCTAAAGTTGGATTAGGGAAACGATGAGGCAATGCTCCATCCATCCAGACTAACAGAACAGGCAGATTATTTTAATGTTCCTTCCAAAGGAGATTAAATAAAAAAGGGATTAGTTTCTCTGCAATAATCTGAACTAAAGTTAGAGCATAGATGAAGTTCTTGTTAACGGCGGATAGTTTCAGTCCATGTTCCAGTTAACCTGGTTAGAAGGAAGGAGGAGGAGCATCTGACCCGAGCAGATCAAAGCTTTAGATGTTTATATCAGAGAATCCTTTGATTCTCATCCTGACTCTAGATATCGATGCTCACAGAAGAAAAAAAGGGAATCTCTTAAATCCTGAACTTTCCCAGCTTAGAAAACCTCCATGGTTTAGTTAAAGTGCCTTTAAACTTGTGCAGACGTCGTAACCCAACTCAGCCTTCCGACTAATAAAGGTTTAACAGAAAGAAGGTTTGAAATGAGGGGCTGAACTAGTTCTAGATTTCATTATTGCTACCAGAAAAACTAATCTTACAATTCATCCTTTAAAAGAAATAGAGCTAACCACAAATGCACTAAGTGAATAAGGTTGGTTATTGTCTGACACTATTGAGTCACTATGCTTCAGTTAGGTTGACATCACGCTAATGTTGATTCTCTCAGACTGATGATTGGAGGTTTCTATATTTACATGCAACAGATTTGATGCAAAGTCCAATTTAGAATAACCCAGCCCAAAAATATTGTGCTATTAGCCTGCAGGAAACTCTGTTGCTGAGTTAATCATCCACCTGTGAGCTAACTTTCCCTTCGTTAAAATATATCAGAATGTAAGTTTGTTAAAATATATTTTTCTTTCTGTCCAGAAATGATTCTTTTTTTCAGTGTTTGACTTCTATCAGTTTCCTCCTTCCCTGTTTTAGAGCAGGTCTGATTCCACCACGCATTGCTCGGTGTACTCCTTCACCAGCTCTACGTTTAAAGTGTTCTGGCAGAAATCAGCCATGGGCCTCCAAAGACCAGGATCCAGGAAGATCTGGCACATCACATGACCCTTCAGGCTGGCTGTGTGCTGCTGGAGGTGGCACAGGAACTGCTGCTGAGCCAGATCCAGATCTTTACCAAACATGTCAATATTCAGGTAATACCTGCGTGAGAAGAAAAGAAAATGTTACCCGGAGAAAAACAATCAGCTGGATGCTTTCTCATCACTGTCTTTAGGTGGATATGGAAACCAATCGCTGATATAATGTCATTATTCTAGTCTAAATCTGAAAAACAAATCGTATTCTATCCCACATTTCAGAAAGTGAAACTCTTCAAGCCTTTGTTTCTTATTTTTTTTTGATAATTTTGGATGTCAGGTAATGAAAAAGTCGTTTTCTGGTTAAATTAGGAGATCAGACAACACAAACATCATTAATATGTTTTTATAAGAAAAGGCTAAATGGAGCACAGAGGACCGCTGAAAGGAACACATGGCGACTTTCCCCCATAAAAACAGCCTGAGGTCGTCTTCAATCAGCCAACTTGGGTTTTATCGGGTTTATTTTGAAACTAAAACAACGATTTACGTTGCTTCTAACAACT